GGAAAGGGAAAGGGAAAGGGAAAGGGAAAGGGAAAGGGAAAGGGAAAGGGAAAGGAGGAACTGTGGAAGAGAGAGAAAGAAAGAGAGGGAAAGAGAAACAGAATAATGCTTCCAAAAGAGGCTGTGAGTCACTAATTTTTAGAAAGTGCTGCCAGCAGTTCCTGTAAATCGACTCACCTTCAAAGATGGGACAGATCTTCCTCCAGGCAGTGACCCCTCCTTGGCTGGTGTACTGCCCCAGTGCTGTCTCCAGAAGGAACAGTGGGATCCCACAGGTGAAGAGAAAGATGAGGTAGGGGATGAGGAATGCTCCTGCAAAGAGAGATCAGATACTGCCTCAGGAACCTCTTTAAAACCTTACCCTACACACCCCTTACAGATACCTTGGGCCACAGCTAGAATCCTCTAGATGTAAACAGAAATATTTCCCTGAATTAACTGTGTGGCCTCTGCAAAAGAAAAAGTTCTCTTACTTCATCAGTTCTTGGAAAAATACAAGTCTGGTCTGCCTCATGCTTCTGCAGTACTGCTGCATTTGTGTTGGCCAATGGCTAGAGGTAAGGTAGAGCTGTTTGACTGGAAAAGACCACACTTACAAAAGTGTCCCTGTTGTCATTCCCCACCTTCGTGCTCACTTTCAGCAGGAGACAGGCAAAGCACGAGGAGCCCTTGCTTCACATAATTGCATTTGTTCTGCCTGTCCTGGGAGTCACAGAAAACTTGCTTGGAGGATACAAACCTGGAGACTGTGGCATTTCTTGATAAATAATAAATCTATTGGGGTATAAATTCACTTGAGACAGATTTCACGTCAAATTAGACAAGTAGTTTGCACTGAAAGAATGGAAGTAGAGGGATGGCAAAAGAGTATCTTTCTAGCATTTTCAAAATGAAAGTTTGCACTGAAAGAATGGAAATAGAGGGACGGCAAAAGAGTATCTTTCTAGTATTTTCAAAATGAAAAAGTTTAACTTCTCTCTTTGGTATTTCATTAAAATAAAGAGTGTGAGGCTTCCACATTTTCACTCCCCTCCAAAGACAGGCAGTAAAAGCAAAGCAAGTCAGGGTAGATGTCTTTCTGTCAGGGTCCTTCCATCACACAGCAAAATTTAGTCATGAGCATCTCCCACTACCAGTGCCTGGGGAGCAGCAGCGGTGTGGACAGCAGAGATGAGGGCCTCAACAGGAACAGGCTTTGTCCCCAGGTCCCAATTCTCCCCTGCCAGCACTGCCACTCATGCTGAAATTCCTTCTCATGAAGGATAATTAGCAATTAGGAGCATTTCCTCTTGTTTTTAAGCCAGCAATGTTACAATAACAAGCTGATCCAGATTTTCTCTAAACACAGCTGTGCTGTAGCTACAGGGGACCTGAGGGTGGAGGCAGGGAACTCAGTTCACAGCCTCCTTACAGGTTTGCAGAGCAGGCAGTGGGAACTGCTTAAGCTAAAACAGAGGCAGCTGCTCCTTTGCTGTTACAAGACCCCTTTGCGACAAATCTGCAGGACAATTTTATTATCCTGTGCATGTGGGAGCCTTCCAGCAGGCCAGACCCTCTCCTTTGGTATTATGTCTCAAAGGCTGACCTGTTTTATTCTGAGCAATGCGAGCTTTCTTATACCTTTCCTGCCTTGTCTCCCTTAACCTTCCCCGGCTGTTACCAGCTGATACTCCACCTGCCATCTCCTCCCCTCTTTGCTTCTCCACTAAAGGAGGCTCAGCAAGAAAGCTCTCCTTTCCTTATGAAAGAAACAGACCTCCTTTCCTTATGATTCTATAGCAACTACAGGATGCTGAGCAATTAGATCAAACTTGAAGTGAAACCATACACAGCTTACAATCAGTTGATTTACAAAAAATTAACATGATTGTTTTTATGTCATCGGTCTTCACAACTTTATAACTGTTTCACTGCATTGGAAGGTAGAGAAAGGTAACAGGACACCATTCCCAGGCTGGCAGCAGTGGAGAACTAACAAAAGGCAAAAATACCTTTTTTTTTTGCAACAACGTGAAGGGCTTTTCCAATGGTAAGGATATATTTTAGTGTCATTGGAAAGAGAGCAGGTTGTCTCAACAAACCAGTTTGTTGTCCATTTGTTTCCCTGGAGCATTGGAGAAAGAAATGTTTCCCCTACATTCGTAACATATAGTCATAACAGTCCAGGACTACTGGACTGGATAATATAGACATATACTATGTAAAGGTATCATCCAAGCCCAGGAAAGAACTTCCATGCAAAAGACATGACCTTTCTCTCAAATCATCACTGCAGAATGGGCTGTTCAATAATGTGCAGCACCTGCGTTAAGTATCCTGTGCTTTTCTGACTCACTGCCATCACAATCTCAAAGAAGGTAACTAAAGAATCTACTTAAAAAACTACCCCAGGTTCAAGTAAAGACTCTTTCTATTTTCTTAAACCATCTTCTCATCCAACCCCCATCTGGCTCAGAGGTGACATTGTACTGACTCCAGCTTGATTTGGAAGAACTCCAGAAACAACACACGGGATGAGAATTTGGTAATCTTGGGATGAAGAACAGCTGAATCAGTAATCTGTTGGTGACAGCTTACAGCACATGGGGGAAGAATGGCCTTTGAGATATAGTCTGCAGGGGAAAATGCTTAAGGCAAGGGAAACATGCTAACAAAAGCTAGTGGCAGCCAATTATTCTCTTTTTCCTCCCCAGCTATGTTTTATTGTTATGAGAAAGCTTATTTTTTAACCACTTAATGATTTTATTGCATTGTTATTGTGAAAGGGGCAGCCACATAAGAAACAAAAGGGAAGGGAATAGATTATTCCTGGGGACAGATTTCCCTAGCAGTGTATTGACCACTGGCAGAACTGCTCCTGGGAAAGTGGTAGCTGCATCCTTCTTTCCATCCTCAGAAAACCCTTCTCATATATTCTCAAAGATGTCTCTTCTGTCTTATATTTCCCCATACAACAAGATAAGATGCTTCAGCTTCCATCACTTCTGGAGCTAAGTTATGGTGGCATAATAAAACACTGTGTTGCCCTCATAACCACAGGGCAGCCAGCCCTGTGAGAATTAAAAGTGGGAGTTCAAGTTTTCTGAAGAAGGAAGAGGGCACCCAGGTGCCAGGAATGACATACCAGGCTTTAGCAAGGATACTGGCACCATCAAAGCCTTTCCTCCTCTATAACAAGGTCCTGAGAGAGGTGGGGGTAATAGATAGAGTGGGAAAGGTAATGGTGCAGAAGGAGGTTGATGCTGGCTTTCTGTTCCCTTACAGCTCATTTTGGAAGACCATATGTGTCTCTGAACACCCAACAGCCTCAAACAGTTCCTGAGAGGTAGAGCTCCTCTCCTAAAAGATTCATTTGTAATTAAAACTCAGCAGAGCTGCTTTGAGAAGCAGCACCCACTAGGAGAAATAGGCCCAGAAATGAGTGTATTTTGTAGTGTCTGCAGACCAAGAACAACTCTTACTAACAACTTACCACCGCCATTCTTGTAGCAGAGGTATGGGAACCTCCACACATTACCCAGACCAATGATCTCTCCAGCCACAGACAGCACAAACTCCACTTTGCTGCTCCACTGGCCTCGCTCTTCCATTTCCTCCTCTTCTGTCTCTTCAGGAACTGCAAGTGCCCCATTGGGCTCTGCCTTCTTGACTGTGGCTCTGGTCATGGCTCTGTGGGACAGAGGAGAAACAGAATGCAGGTGCAGGGAGCCACTGGTGGGAAAAGGAGTGAGGGGACCAGCCGCAACAACAGACCCATTCCTACTGTCACCTTGAGTGCAAAAGTGAAAGAAAAATTTGCAGGAGAAAGCAGAGCTATGGAATCACAGAGAAAATTCACTCACTGCTTGAGAAGCCACACTGAATGTGGCTGGGCCTAAGGGGTGGAACAAGGAAGACATTTTCTAATCTATACAGAATAATGAGCTATCCGTAGCGTCATCTTAATTAAACAAGATTAGTCATTGCTTATTGCAAAATGCAGTTTTCTACTGTGCACAGAGTCAGTCTAAATCTAGCCAAAATTCACTCAAGTCAGAATAAATCTTCTTGTTGACAACATCTTCACATTGATTCCCAGTATTTGATTATAAAGAGAATAAGTGTAAAGATAGGAATCTTCTTTTACCCATCTGAAATAATCCTCCTCAAAAGCATGCCCTAATGGGTTACCTGGTGTAAGGATGCACAGGGGGAGCACAGCCTTAACGTGAACAGGGTAGATGATGAACTGTGCCAGGGAAGTCCTAGCTGTAGCTACATCTTGCTGGTGGCTTTGCTCAGAAGTTGGCCTTAGAAGGGCCAGTTGGTATCAGCAACATGCATCAGGGATACATGTTCCCTTGCTTGACTTAGGAAGCTGCACTGGAAGCAAATCTCTCCAAAGTAACAACGTCTCTGAAAGGCTTCCATCCCCACTATCTTAAGTGTAAAGAAACGAGGGCTTTCTCTCTTCACATTAGCTTGCTGGTGATTTGGTAGGTATCTTAACATCACTTCTACTTCTTCCCCCTTCCATCCTAAGGGGCCATCCCCATTACCAAGGATCAGCAGAGATAGGTATCTGTGCTGCCCACGCTGTTCATCTCTTCCTCTGTCCCCGGATCTCCCCTGGACCATTGAGTGCCCAGGTGAAATCCAGGCAAGGTTCTGGAAGTGGCTCAGTCCAGGGACCTCTCCAAGCCAATAGAATGAGCAATACCTCACCACATTTTACTCCACCTTACAGGACCTCCAAACCAATCTAACATTTTGCAGTCTCATATGGACACCATTCTTTCTCTCTTTGTACGTTCTCTCCAGTTTTCTCACTTAAGGCTAGCTAGTGTGTAAGGACAATCAGAAAGCCTGAGGCAACTGGGAATAACAATAGGTATGGTCTTACTAACAAACTGGCCTGGTAGCATAAAAACACCATGGCATTTCTTTTGGTGCAGTGTTCAACAGGGTGAGAGGGAAGCAGGATCAGGTTGATCCTTGATGCTTGAGCTTGCTTCACACAAGACAGCATCATTATCACTGGGTCTCATTTGCTTCTGCAAGTTGCCTAATGCAAATGAAATTATTTCCTAAATGCTAACCCTCTGGATATATCAGGTCCTCAGGCAGAGAAAGACACTTGCATATGAAAAGGCAATTTTTAGTGAATGTGCATAGCAAAGCAAGCAGGTTTTGGCAGAAGGCATATTTTCTGTCATTCAAGTACAGAAAAGAAACCAGACCACAGTGTAAAACATCAATTGCTCTGTAAATACCCAGGCCTTTGCGTCCCCATCTGCCTTCATGCCAAGGGGCCCCTACACTTCCCTTTGACATCAGCAGCACATTTTATAGAGTCACTGAATCTCTCAAGTTGGAAAGGACTCATAAGGATCATTGGGCACAACCCCTGGCTCCACACAGCACCAAACCCTGTGTCTGAGAGCGGTGACCCAATGCCCCTTGACCTCCAGCACTTGGGGCTGTGCCCGCTGCCCTGGGCAGCCCGTTCCACGCCCACCACCCTGTGCTGCAGACCCTGTCCCTGACCCCCAGCTGCCCTCCCCTGACGCAGCTCCATGCCGTTCCCTCGGCCCTGTCGCTGTCACACAGAGCAGAGCTCAGCGCTGCCCCTCCGCTTCCTGTGAGGAGCTGCAGCCTCTGCGCTGAGCAAACCCAGGGCCCTCACTTTCACACACTGCCCTCCAGAACCTCCTTCATCTCTTTAGCCCTCCTTTGGACGCTCTCATAGTTTTATGCCCTTTTTGTACTGTGGCACTTCAAACTGCACACAGTACTCAAGGTGAGGCTCCACTGGTGCAGTGTGGAGTGGGACAGTCGCTTCCCTCAACTGGCTGGCAATGCTGTGCACGATGCACCCCAGCATAGGGTTGGCCTTTCCACAGACTCTGAAAGCAGAAGACTGAATCACATACAAAGCTCTAACACTGCCTTTAGTAAGATGAGCTGCAGCAAGAGCAGTGGGGCTCATAGCACAGAGAAGGGCAGTTAGGGGCCATTGGAGGCCATTTTCAAGGCTACGTGTCTGCCTGCTGAAAAACACTGCACAAAGATTCTGGTTCCCCATTAAACATGAAAGCTTTTCAGCTCCACCTTTGCCCCTTCCACTTTGCTTCCCTGCTGGGATGGATGTGAAGGGGAAGGGCCAGGCCCTGCCGCCGGCCTTATCCTGGCTTCTGAAGGACCCTCTCCCTGCTGCCTGCCTGCTGCAGGGCTGCCAGCTGGCTCATCAGTTCATTCAGATGCTGCAGCACAGCCTCCTTGGCTCTGAGAGTAGCAGAGCTCCTCGCACTGTCAAATGGGAGAGAAAAAAATAGCACGTACTTAATGAAACATGTTTGATCTGTCACAGTCCTTGGCATGTCCCAATTTGCTGCAGTCCAGGGCACATTATCAAGTACAATGATGCTTAAGTCTGGGCTTATTGAGGATGTCATGAAAAGCTGACAGGAGAAGACTTGGCTAATTCTTTGCTTTTGTTCTTTTAATGCAAGGAGATCCAAGAAGCAGTCTATTTCTACTAATATTTGTGTTTTCCCTGGTTGTGTGTTAGCCCTGTCTCTGAAAGGGGCAGGGAAGCTCACTGATGAGCAGCCACCTCCTCTGCCCAGCCCAGGAGGCAGTGCTGAGTGCTAGCCCAGAGCCCCAGTGCTGCTGTCAGGGATATTGGGAGCAGGACATGGGTTCTGACCTGCTCTGACCCCATCCCATGGCCCCAGAACAGGCCAACATGAAGAGTAGAATCTGGAATGCCACCCTGGGAAAGCATGGATCAGCAGGGGAGATGCTGCGCTTGTGGCTTTATTTTCCAATTGCAAAAAAGGGAGAAGCACCCAAGTTATGGAAATAAACCTTTTCAACTAGGTATAGTTGGTAGATTAAACCAGTGCCCAAAGTTTGGGCCCTTTGTGTCTCAAGCTCCCATTTCTCCCTTCCCAAGCGAAGTGATACACAGCATTACACATCAGATTTTCCTCCTCTGCGTTGCCTGCTGTTTCTATGAAGAAGCCTATTCACACAACTCCTGCTTCTTTTCTGAAACATCTACTCCCACTGTGCTCCTGCCCTATATGTTCCCAGGCCAGATGGGGACTCAAATAGCTTCTTGTTTCCAGCTAGGAATAATATGAGTCTCCCACAGCAGCCCAGACACCCACTGTGTTACATCTTTCCTGACGTGCATTTTCTTCTTCCTTTAGATATTTCTGTCCTTAATACACAAGCTTGGAAAAAATACTTTGCTTCTCACTGCCTGCCTGCAATTCTTCTGCTCTCTTGTTATCAAAGTTTGAAGAAAACTGGCTCCTTCCCTCTGTCTCTTTTGTTCCTTTGCCACGAGGTCTTTCCCATGACTGAGATGCCCCTGGCATAGCCCACAGTTCTGCCACTCATCCACCACCTCCATCCTCTGACCTCATCTCCTTCCAACCTCACCAGCCACTTTCAGAGATGCCCTACTGTATTTTCAACCCCCAGTCCATCAGTAAGGTGCCTGGAGCAAGTTGCCCAGAGAGGTGGTGGATGCCCCATCCCTGGAGACAATCAAGGTCAGGCTGGATGGGGCTCTAAGCAACCTGATCTACCTGTGGGTGACTGTTCATTGCATGGAGGTTGGACCAGATGACCTCTAAAAGTTCCTTCCAATTCAAACAATTCTATGATTTTCCAGGCCAGGCCTTGCAGATATGACCTGTCCTCTCCCCACAGAGGGAACAGGGCAGGTTTGGAACAGGGCATGGTGTGTGCCAGCAGCCAAGTTTTTTCTCCACAAGGTGTAAATGCTGCAACAATCAGAATCCTCCTGGATTCTGCCTGTCACTGAAAAGAGAGCAGACAGCACGCAGGCAGCCTCAAGCAAGTCCCTTCCTCAGAAGCTGGCTGAGGTAACCACGTCTCTCAGTGTTCACAATTTTGGGGTTTTGTTGGCCTGCAGCCATGGGATCTTTCCCATATGGCCACTCAAGGCAAGCAAGGCCCAGGACACAACTGAAGTGCTGTGAGCCAGTTCAGTCCCACATGCCAAAAGCACTATGCAGAAAAGCAATACTTATTCATTGTGTTTGGTAGCAAACTGTCATTAAAGAGAGAGGCAAGAATCAGAAAGAGGAGAATGAAAGCATCATTTGAAAGCAAATCCTAGTGGTACCTCAGTCCCTCCTAAGGCAAAAAGGACTGAGGACTGCTCATATGAGATGAGGAACAAGAGTAAAAAGAGAAGGAAGCCACCAGGAGTTCTGGCATAGGAGGGAGAAGGTTGCCTTCCCACAAGCCCAGTGTCACCACTCAAGAGCCCTGCCTCTGGGCAGCTGACCTCCTCTGATTGACCCTCTTCTGCTGTTTTATCTCGAGGCAAACGAGAAGAGGGCAGTCTCAGGAGCAAACAGTGAATCAGCAATTGATACCATATCAAAAAGCAGAAGATAACGCTCACCAGAGGAAGCGCAATGTAAAGCACCTTTGGACACTGATAGGTGCTGTTTGAGCTGCAGGAGGCAGAGTCACAGTTGATGGCTGAAGACAGCACTGCATTTATGTGTCCTGGCTTTACTGTGGAAGAAGTAGCAGTCAAGCACATGAACTGCAATTTGAGGTGGGGAGGGAGGAATCAGAAAGGCAGGCTGTGCTGGGTTATGCAAGGAGGAGCAGGACGATGCAGGAAATTTGTTGGCTGCATGATATGAACTGGCAGCTGGAATCCTGTACCACATGCCAATGGTAAGGAGGGAACAAGGACAGAGAACAAGGGTACAGTGCCAGGGTACAGCTGAAAGAGCAGTCCAGAGGAGCAGTGCTGCTGCTGGAGCAGGGCAAAGACGCAAGATGTACAGGGAAATGGGAGCAGTACCTCTTCCCAGCAACATGAATAGTGATTGCTGCTCCCAAACCTGAACTTGTCTGGAGCATGGCTCACTCCAGCTGCAAGAAGAAGGGCAAGGAAAAGTATAGCGAGAGAAAAGTGATCAGTTCCCGGACATCGGTTCAAATTAAAATGCCTTTCTTTCTAGATGTTGAAAGCTACCTGTCTTCTTTACAATTCTTGATTAACTTTTGAGTGGTGTGGGTGATACAGGGTATCTCAAGGCATCTGTCCATCAAGGTTCTTGGGGCACAGTGGACCCATGCCATGAGGATCCATGCCATCCTGCCATGAGGATCAGACCCTGCTTGCATTTTCTCCAACATGAAAAAAGGGCAATACTCCTGCATTCAGCATTTTTGCTGCTTACTGACACCAGCAAGAATGAGAGTAGGAGCATCTGTAAAGATGCTAATGACATGTATATCTATGACGCAAGCTGCAAGGTGAGCAGAGTGCAGTCCCTTGCAGGAAAGGACCAAGCCTTTCCTCATTGTCCTCTACTAGCAGAGAAACACAACCCATGCTAAGAGCAGTGCAGGCTTGTTTCTTCCTCTCACTGGCTCTTTGGTGCCTGCAGCTCATCGTTCCTGCTGCAGAGGGCAAAGCCACAGAAGACCATGAAGACCCGAGCCCCGCAGCAGCCTGGGCCTGGTTGGAGTCTCCAAATGCTGGTTGGAGCCTGGGCCTAGCTGGACGCCTGGCAGCCAGCCGAGGCGCACGGGCAGCAGAGAGGTTCTACTGGGGCAGGACAGTGACCTGTCGTGCAGACCCACACGGACAGGACAGAGTCCAAGGCAGGGGACACAGTGGCTGCAGGGCGGCTCCTTCACAGAGCTTCAAGCTCGGGAAGCACACGGATGTGCACTGAAGCCTTGGGGCCCTGCCCGGAGCACCAGCAGACAGCAGTAAGGCACAGGGCCTGCTGGGCAGACCTCATCAGGGACCACATCTTCAGCCCCACGCTCAGCACTGATGGGCTTCTGCAGAGCTGTGAAGGCCAGGTCCAAGGTTCAGACCCTTATATTTCCAGTTCTCAGTGAAGAAAACTAAGGCAATAGCATTTCCAATGACATTGGATGAAAGCCCCCGTTCACCACAGTGATTGCTTTAAAAGCACTGTTGTTGATTTAAGGAGATGCGGATCAGATGTTATGAAACCCCCACGTGATCTACTTGGGTTTGTTCACAAACACACCCTCAGATCAGGGCTTCTGCACATGCACAGATCTTGCCTTCTCCCTGCCCTCCCCCAGGCTGGTTCTTCACCCCTAACTGGGAACAGATCCAAGGACACCCTGAGCAGGAAGGATAAGGAGCAGAAAGCACCTCTTGGAGCTGCACCGCCGAGCCACGCACTAGCACAGGGTCAGCAATCTGCAGGGTAGCATGGTAGGAGTCACTGCCTCCTGCTTGCCTTGAAGCTTTTCCCCTACGTATCACTACCTAGCTATTGCTGCTCTTCATTCCCATCCCTCTCTGGCCCCCTCTTATGTCTTTCTCCACCTTTCTTCTGCATGAGGCCTTCTCTCGCTCTACTGCAGCCTTCAGTGCCAATTGCCCGTCCTTCAGGTATCCACCGCTTCTTGGCAGCACAACTGCCTGCTCTGTCCGACAGGAACCATTAGGAGCAAGCTGTTCCCTGTGCTGATCCAAACCGATAATTGCTCCCCACCCTCCAGCCCTCTATCCTTTTGCTGGGAATTGTTTTCCCTCACAAATTCACTGGCCCACTCCCAGCCAGACCTGCAGGCGAGCAGATGCCCAGCTCACCTGCACCCATGTGGGATCTGCCAGGCAAGCCAGTCCCGTCTCACCAGTGTCCAGATGGGGAATCCACTGCACTGCACGCCAGGGAGATCCAGCAAGAGTTAAGGGAAAGGCTCCCCTCTCTCCTCCTCCAGTCCCTCCCCTTCCACCAACTCCCCCCATCAAATTGTCACCCTGCTCTCAGGTGGGTGGTGGGATGGCACAGGGAGGTGTGCCGGGGAGGGAGAACTCTCTCTGCATGTGCCTCTCCAGACCTTGAACTGTGGCCCTGATAGGAAAGCAAGAATAGCAAGCAGCTGTGGGTGGACAGGGCAAAGGCCCTACATTTGCAAAGATCAACCATCGACAGTGAGCCCACCGACTCCAAAGCATGTCCCCAGCCACCTGCCTGCTCTGCACCCATCTCAGCACCAACGTGCTTTTCCAGGGCTGATTGAGTGCTATGCCAGCAGCAGGCATTCCAGTTCTGCTACTTTTCTCAAAACAGTTCAGCTCCATAAATTTTTTTAAAATGATTGTTACTGTTTCATCTATCACTTTGCCCATAAACACGCTTGCCAAATTTCTACTGACCTTTTCTTGTATCTACGCCGTCAAACCAGAGTCGCATGCAGGATTGAAACTGGGACGTGTCCACCATACACCAGGGTTAGAGCTTCCTCTGGTCATCAGAGAGCTGACAGCAGCCCTCTGGGTCACAAGAGACCGCAGCATGAGCACCACAATCTCTTCTGATGGGGGACCGTACTGCCGCCTGTCCTGCTGCAGCGCTCCAACGTCACCCAGGGCAGCTGGGAAGAGGGACAGAAGAGGTTATCCAGATATGGAGGGGGATTGAGATAAGCCTAGGTAAGCAGAACTGACCTAAAAACCTCATTTATCCACACTGAAGTATTTCACAAGAACATCACAGCCTTTTTGCAAAACTGTAGATGGGAAAAGACTTGTGACATTCAGGCAAAAGAAGAAGAAAGCCAACCTAAATGAAAACTTTATCTAGAAATGAGTGAAAATCACTCTCCATCAGGGAAAAAAGGGCTGTTATTTCTACTCTTCAAACCAGAAAATACCAGAAGTTACACTCAGTTTTCAGAGTTTCTCCCCTGCTAATAATTCATCGTAGTTTTCACGGGGCAACCTGATCCTGCTGTGGCAGCATCCACTTAAGGACTCACCATTGTCACAGCCCAGATCCCAACAACCTGATCTTCATCCTCTGCCAGTCTGGTGGCACAGACCCCAGGGACCACTAAAGACCAGGACTTTTGGTCCATGCTGCACTCCCAGTAGTGGCTGTCCCTGCCTTTGGGCACACCCTGCACCCCAGCAAAGTTCTCCTGCTCCCTGCTGGCTGGCAGCACTCCTCACCTCCTTTCTTCTCTCACTCTTCCAGGCCAGAGCATGGTGCAGTCTGGCTCCCATCCCACTGGGCTTCAGCCGGAGGAACCACCACAGCCAATGCCCATCCATCTTTTGACACCTTTGCTAATGAAACCAAAATAACGCTGTAATAACAGCTGCTTGTTTGATCAGGAATTTGCCTTGTCGGCTGAACACTGTATTTTTAGAGGAGCTTCCCCTATGCATTCTTATAATTTATGCTTTATGTTTATGGTTAATTTCTGCTTAAGCAAGCCTGTCCTACAACAATTCCACCGTAACTAATCACAAGTGAACATAACTAAAGTAACGAGTGCTAACGAGGCCCTGCTGTACCGTAATGGGCTCTGGCAGCTGCAGTGCTGCTCCAACACAGGGCCTCACTTGTGCCCCTCTCAGCACTGCCCATCACTGACAGCCTCTTCCTAGGGCTCTAGAGAAGAGGAGGCTGTCAGGAGTCTCCTGCTTCAGTAGCACATTCAGGGCGAAATGTCCCTCTCTCCTACGGCTCCCATGGTAAAGGAGAGGACAAGGCAAGGGGAGATTGTGCAGGAGCTCAGTGTTGGCAACAACAGTGGGCTGTGAGGAGGATTAGAGATGCTAGGGCGACGTCCTTGGTCTAACAGACTCTTTGAGTCTAACAGCAGTGCTTGCTGGTGATCAGAGACCAAGGAGGACTATGGAAAAACATCAGGCAGAGGGCACAGGGCAGCGAATCCTATTGCCATGGGGTGCACGAGGTGACAGCAAACATCTACAGTGCATAGGTCACAAAGATGCAAAGGACACTATGTGGCTGTTGGGACAGAGTAGCACATGTTGGTGCCCAAAACAACTTGATGCATTAATAAGCCCAGGCAAAATCTGTGGGACTCCCTTATTTCTATGTAAAACTGGAAAAAGTAAAAAGATATACAAAAAAAAAGTAAAAGAATATACATGAAAAAAAAAAAAAAATAGGTCTTCAATCCTATCCCCATGCTCCTGAAGCTTAAGAATTGACTTCTTAGACTAAATTACAGATTTTAGATTCTGAATGTGAAGGGAAATTTCAAAAAATGGTCTCTCTTGTCTGATGGGACATTGTGTCTTCCCCATGTGGGAAGGGTCTGAGTTGGGGTATGTGCCACAGGCTGTGAGAGGAGGAATGCTGGGCTGATCCTGAATGCAAAACAACTCAATTCACCGTATTCCAAGTCAAAAAAAGATTACTGCATTCCAAATTTCACCTACATTTGGGGTGCTGTATAATAAGAGGTGCTGCTGATTTAACCATGGAGTCTTTAAAAACGGTGTGAGAAATGTCATATTTGGAAGTTTCAAGTGTACTCATTTCAGACTTAGTCTATCAATCTGCTCAATGAATAATGAGAATCTACTCAATTTAGATTTCAAGCCAGGCATCACAGCTTTCAATTCTTCATCCCAAAGTCCTATTGAAAATAAGAATATCCAACAAGCCTTTGGTGGTTTTTTTGCTGGTTTTCTTTTTTGCTTATCTGACCTGCAGAGCTCATCCAAAGCTTTACAGCAATTAGGTCATTTAGGAACACAGGCTTGGGAGGTTTCCTGGCTCATATGTAACCAGATCAATAAACCACATGCCCAATTCAATGGACACCAAGCTATTTGGAAACAAAGCAAGTCACAAGCCTTTCGGCAGGCACCCATTTTGCCTATCTGCAGCTGAGCGGACTTTCTACCTCAGCCATTTTCTGGAGGTAGCTGTGGTCAATTTTCTATTAGCTTTAATGTACCTCACCAGTGGACCAAATCTCTTATAGGTATTACTGGAAAATGAAAGTATAATTTTGTTTGAAATTAGTAAGACATGGAAGAGAATGTGTTTCTGGAGCTTCAAGTATGATTCATATAAAAAGCCTGAACATTATCCTCCGTATTAAACTCCATTTGTTCATTTCTGGAAATAATTTCTACCAGCCAGCACTGCATGAAGTGGAATGGCTCCATCCACCCTCACACACTGGAGGTCTCTTCCCAAAGGGGATTTTCCTTTTCTTTTTTCTGAGCTCTTTCCTACCTTCATCTCACAGGCGAGCATCAACATGCACGTCCTCAGGAGGCTAAAACAGCACATGCCACAGCTGGGAATGAATACGATCCCTGTGGGAGAGAGCTGACTGCAGCTTGGAAAACACCAATAGGCAGCAGGAGCCAAAGTGCCTCCTTCACCCCAAGCCAGGGAAAGTCCCTCTCTGGCTCTACAGCTGGTGGACTGCCCTTCACCCAGCATGCTAGTGGGGCCAAAGAGTCTCACAATTCGGAGGGTCTGCTGATCCACTTCAAAGACCCGTCTGAGGTACAATCAGCTGAGGTCTACCATCATCTTTTCAGAAGGGGAAAGAAGAAATCCCCTGGAGCACAGCCAGACTGTTCACTTATCAGCATCGCTTCCCATAGACAACTATATGCTGTTTTTGTGTGGAAAGCAAGAGCTGGCACTGTACCAGAGGAAAGGGTCTTCTATCAGTCTCCTTCTCTAACCTTTTCCTGCAGAAACCCCTACCACGTACTGCTCACACCTATCCAAGTGCCCCACAGCCCCAGAAGGAAGCAGACAGCAGGAAGCTCTCCTCTTCCACATCCCCTTGTCCCAAGGAGTGGTGCTGGGGACCTGTCCCCTTGCCCCACAGGAGCACCCGGTGCCACCAGCCTGCCCGTGAAGGTAACCTTGCACCTCGCCTTTCTGCTGCCGGCAGTAGGTGAGGTCCTGGGGCCACCTGGTGGTTCATTACGTGGATTGTTTGAATTCTTCTCTCCGTGCTGGGTGCTCCAGCAGCACCGTACCAGGCCGTATAGCACAATGCCTGCCAGTCCTTGGGAAAGCCAAGCTTCATTCACTCACTCAGCCCTTCCTATGCTCTGGCTTTCTCAGGGTTACCTGAGAGCTATCCAGATTCCCAGGGCTACATGTCCTCTGGCTGCCCTCTTCAGATGCTGAGACTTCAACACTTAAAACAACTGTTCTTTGATTGTTATTGTTTGTTTTTTTTTTTCACCCAAACAGCCTGAAAATGAGAGGCTCTATTTGTGGCTGAGTTGACATGACATACAGATCCCACCTCAGCCATGAAGCCTTTTCTCCATATGCAGGGAAACAAAAATAGCAGGTTCTGGAGAACCTGGAATCCAGTCAGAATAAAAATGGCTTGGACCTGAAGAGATGAGGGACAATTTCCCACGATCCTTCTCTTGCATGAAGAAACACCAGCCCACACACTTCTCCCAGGCCCTGGGAATAGCCCAGTGATTCATCAGCCAGATGACTCTTTTGGCTGGGAGCAGGTGATGGCTTCTAGCAGAAGGTGGCATTGCACCAAGAACCCCAAGCCTACTGCATGCAGAGGTCTCCCAGTCAGTGTTCCCCACTTTCCCTCCCACTTAAACCAAGCTTCTTCTCTTGCTACCCTCCTGTGCCAGAGCAACAGAGATGCAGACCCAGATACCCAGCACAGCTCCACTGGTACACACCCCACTAAACACAGTGTAAGCAAAGGATACTGGTTACAAAAAATGAGACAGTCTGCAACTAGAGAGGAAAGACAAGAATTTAATGGAATGAATGGAGAGCTCCCAAAGTCCACACCAGAGCCACAACTTTGAGACTCTGGCACTCTCCACTCCATGATCAGTCCTTCTTCTCTGCCCACCAGAAGGCTGGGGGTGCTCTGAAACACCGGTGTTCGATCTGCCCCTTCAGAGCCCTCTTAGGGAGAAGATTAAGGTGCATTGCTAACTCCACGCAGACCATCTCCACAGCAGCTTCTCCCTCAGCCCTTCAGATCTTCCAGGGAAGGGAATTCAACCCAGAAATCCCTCTCTCCTAGGTGAGTGAATCCTTGTGTTGTCCAACACATGGTAAAAGCTGCATATGAAACCATCTTGGGGGAGGGAGGGAGAGCCCCACTGGTCCTAGCAGTGAGATTCCAGCTCTGTCAGCATCAGGAGGCCAGATCTGGTGGAAGGAAGACGCTGTCCCGTGCTTGGCCTCGAAGGCAAGTCCTCTAGTGGACAGGTGAGTTGATGGAACCTCTGGAAGGCAAAAGAAGGCACTGAACATGGTCTCAAGGATGAAAGGTAACTTGGCCCCTCCCCTTCCAGTCATGGGTATCATTCAGTCATTCAGACCACGCCTTCCTGAGCATTTGCAGGAGCCAGAGAACAGGTGGGATCTGGAGTTTTCTTGGAGCAAGACCCCAAGCTGCTGTCAAGGGCAGCCTCCATGCTGAGCTGAAGCATGGGATATCATCTTTTTCCTCATCATCTAATGAGTTTATTCCTAATGGCGTTTGCAAAGAGACAGAAGCAATAAACAAAGGGCACCAAGAGGCAACCATCAGCTTGGGGCAGCCAGGCAGAACTCAACAAAACCAACAGTTCAGTTATAGCAA